ACACACACACACACACACACACACACACACACACACATCAAAATGGCAGCCTCACAAGATGGTTAAAGAAGGCTTATCTCCCCCTTCCTCTAGCTCCCCAGGGCTCTTTCACCCCCAAATAATACATCCTCCAAAGAAGAAGATTCTTTTCAGAAGGAAGGAGGGACTGACCCAGTAATAACCAGGTGAGACCCTCACTTGTCAGCTAACCCCAAATAAGACACAGTGGGGAGAAGCTCACAAAAGCTACTTCCCAGCAGGCAGGCCGGATTAGTAAGTAAAGACACAGGGCAGTTGAGCAGCAGCAAAAATCTAAGCTGGTATTTTTCACTTCCTTGAGGGTACTTCTCCTGCTTACAAAAAATGGGGTGCACTGAGGCTAGCTGGGGAAGGAAGTGGTCTTGAGGAAGAGTCCAAGAGTGGACTCTTGATGCTATTAGGACCTCCCAGGTGACCTGACCAACACCTGGTCTCTCAGATAGGAAGTTAGGGCCCCAGGGTAGTTGGGTGGGTGTGAGCTGCCCTTAGGACTCTGATAATACTGCCAGGATTGGAATCCACGCATGCTCACTTCTAACCCAACATCTTTCGTCTCACAATTTGATTGAAACATTTACCCAGCAACTACAATGTACCACAAGCCAGTGCCAGGAAATAAATCCTCAACTAACCTGAACCCTCTATTAACTGGGTCATCTTCCTGCATTCCACTTTTTAAAAGCAGGCCCCAAAGAAAGGCAAGCTTATGTTTAAGGATTTATGGTCTCTTTCTTTTTCCATTTGTTTTGCAACAGTGGGGAACATCTTGAGGACAATCCACATTCCTTCCAGTCTCCACTTTTACATCCCTGACCCAGAATGAACAGACGCCATGCGCCAAATCCCACTTCTGGGATTTAGCCAGCTCTTCAGCCATTAAACTAAAACTGGGTTTTGATCATCACACTGTACTTTCTTCAAACTAACATTTTTAAAAGATTTGTAAATGGGGCTAGAGCACAGGGGTAGAGCATTTACCCAGTGTGTGCAAGGACCTGGGTTCAATCCCCAGCACTGGGGAAAAAAAAAAGTGATCTTCAAAGATGTGCAGTGTGGAAATTTTTTTTTTTCTGTACAGCCATCAATTACTCAGAAATTTTCAATGAATTCAGACCACTGACTATGGAACGGGTGGGAAGTGCTGGATCCATTCATCAAACACTCTGGACCTTGGCCAAAATTCTGTCCAGAGACAATGGGTTAACACTTGATCCTTGAAATAAATGCTTCAAAATGGCACATTCTCCCAAGAAGTCACAGAGCAACCTCTGTGTTCTCCCTCCACCAGGGCACCCATGAGCATATTCTCCCTAGCGTGAAATTCATTTGTGCTTAGGCCTTGAGCTGACTGTAAAGAGGGGAAAACAACACTTACAAAGAGACAAGCAAGCTCTTGCAGAGCCAAGAGGGTTCTGTCTAACAAGGTCCCTCTTACTCCTGCACTCTTTCTTTCCTAATTCCTCTCCCAGGCTGAGCCAAGGGAGTTGGGAGGAAGAAGACTGGCAAGAGAGAAGTCACTGATGCTCACTTGACATGCTTTGCCCAGTGGGCATGAGCCTGACGTGATGCCAGGGACCAGCACTGGCTGGCTTCCCAGAGCCTTGGATTTCCTTCAACAAAACCAACCTTTACTGAGTGGACCAGGTACTTCAACAGAAGTGCCTTGGAAGAGGGGTAAGGAGCTGGAGAGGGAGACAACCCACAGTCACTACTCCTAAAACACTCACTAGCCAATGGCAGCACAGACATCCGTAAGCACAGGCTGGCTGTCCCTGGATCCCATTATCTTGTTTTAAATGCCTCTGGATGCCTGGGACCACAAAGACAGGAAGACACTCCCTCTCCATCCTCAAAACACAGTGATGGGTCTTTCTTTAATGTTCTTTGATGCTACACAGGCTTACAAACACCCTAAAGACTACTTACAGGAAACCAGACTTATGGACAAAATCATAGGGTGCTCTCATATCATAGGGCTTGGGAACCTGAAAGAAATGGATTCACTACAATTGTCAGAGACGCTTAAAGATGGAAAGAACATTGGACCAAAAGTTCAGAACCTGTTTCCTTCACCAGTTTATCTGTGTCCTTGAGTAAGACACATTCTTTCTGCAGTTAAAGATGTGGGGGAGGACTACAGCAGTGGTTTTTATTAGCAGTAAAACTTATTTATTTTCCAAATTGTATTTTATCTACAATCCCAATATATAAAACAAACCAAGGGAGCAGCTCAGGACTGGGGAACCCAGAGCCCACGCAGGCTGGGTGGTCCTCAGAGAACTCAGCTGGAAAACTGCAGGAGTGGGTTAAGTCTGAGAGCCCCTTTCCCTAGCTCTTATACTGTCTTGCAGAAAACCCAGGGAGCACAGAAGGAGGGAATCACGTTGATTCAGTGCTCTCCATGGTGCTTGGTAATTCATATATCACATGTCATTGAAATCTTTGCAACAGCAACAGGAAGTTAACTAGCTTATGAACAAAGATCCTTAATGATCTGGGCTGTGGACTAGAATCTGCTGACAAGAGGCAGAACTGGGATTTCAACTATGAGTTTTCTGATTCCAAACACAATATTCCTCCACCTTCATAATTTGTTCCTCTAGGTTTGTGAAAATTGGGCTGAATCAATAAAACCTTGAGCAGAGTGCTGGTGGCTCACGCCTGTAATCCTAGCTACTCAGTAGGCAGAGATCAGGAGGATCACAGTTCCAAGCCAGCCCAGTCAAATAGTTCATGAGACCCTCTTGGAAAAAAACCCTTCACAAAAAAAAAGATTAGTGGAGTGGCTCAAGGTATAGGCCCTGAGTTAAACCCCATTCAAACCCCAGTACTGCAAAAAAAAAAAAAAATTCCTTGAATTGTAAATATAAATATATGTGCATACATATGTCTATATGAAAACTTCTTAAAAAAGAATATACCCCCAAAATTACAAATTGTCTCTGTGTGGCAATAAAGTGGATGATTTCCAGTTGATTTTTCTCTATTTTCTAATTATCCTATAATGAACAGGCCTTGTTTATATGACACAGATGTTGCTTACTAAAGCGGTGTTAATAATTCATGTTGGGTTTATAAAGTTTATATAGTGAATTATATTATTATTATTAGGGACCTTTTGGAGTTGACAGTGGCTCCAAAGCCCCCAAATGTCATCAACTCTACCTTGGGCTCAGGAGGACTGAGCTGACCTGAGGGTCAGTTCTCTCTCTCTCTTTTTTTTTTTTTGGCAGTACTGGGTTTTGAACTCAGGGCCTTGCCCTTGCTAGGCAGGTGCTCTTGGGCTTGAGACACTCCTCTAGTCCTGAGGGGCAATTCTCATGGTCACGTAAGTTCTTTGAAGTCCCAGTTGTGCAAGACGTGGTGTTTTAGAAAGTTGCTGAGACCCCAAACATATGTCTCATGTCTCTCCTCTATCTCCTTTACACCCCCTTCAGCTGCCTTTTACAGAAAGGGGGAGGGCCTGATAAAACTAAAGATGGTCAATTGACATCCTCACTCCCAACCCAGTAGAACCTATAGAAAGAACCCGCCACCCAGACCAACTAAGCTCTCCTGCCCTACCCTGAGGGTCCTTCAGAAGCTTCTGGCAAATTCAGAGATTACAGGAGAGAAAATACCACCCGAAAGGCAAGCCAGGCTTCAGTCAGGCATGAGGCGTGGCAAGGCGTGCCAGCCACTTCCCTGTGTCATTCATGCCAGCTCTCCCTGCAGAAGTCTCCTAAATATTTAACATGCCACCCCAAGGTACAGCGCAGACCCCCAGCAGTTGGCAACAGCTGTGGAGAGACCTTGATGATGGCACGACTGGGGACTGAGAGGCGCAGATGATGACTTCGGGAGGAAAGCCCAGAAGGGTGGCTGAGAGACAATGCCGAGGACTTCAGAAGGTTGGCCCTCGCTGCTTCTTTGAAAATCAGAAGGAAAGATGAGAGATGTGCCAAACACGGGGAGTGATGCTGCACAATCAAGGGGAATCCAGAGCCCCTCTTTCTCAGACAAAGAAAAGGCCAAGGCACGTGTTCCTCACGTCAGCCTCCCCAGACTCATTTTAGTCCTAGCTCCCCTGGGCAGGTGGCAAATCCATCCTCCCCAAGTGAGGTCGGAGAGGAGCTTGGAAGTCAAAAAACGTCCCCCACGCCCATCCCCAAGGTCTTCACAGGCCTCACCCCAGATGACTCTGCTCTCCTGCATGGCCTGGGAGGTGTCATCGCCACCGCCCTGGGAGCTGTCACTTGGAAATTTCCCGTGCATTCCTCAAGATGCCTGCCTCTGTCTCTCAAATCCCTGCAAAAGGCATCAGACGTTGGGAAGGAAGGCATCTATTCCATGATTCATACGCGTCCTCCAAAGTCCCACCGGCCTGTGCCGCTGTCGATTTAAGAAACCTAAAAAGGAGTATTTTTTCAACCTCAGGGAGCTCCGCCTCCATCTCTACACTGATCTCCGCGATGACCCCTCCAGGCAGCTCGCCTGTCTGGATCGGTCTGTCATTTTCACCTGACAATAGCGTGGCAAGCCGGGGGCGGCGACGGACCACCCCAGCATTCTCCCAAAGGAGAGACATGCATGTCCCCGCGGCGCACCCATTCCCGGCCTCTGCAAATCCACTCCACCAGGGGAACAAAGCGGCACGGGACAAGCAAGACGCAGTCCCCAGCGGTGCCCCGTTGCGCCCCAGCTCCGCCCGCGGGTACCCGGTACTCCGGCCCGGCCTCCGCCTGCGCGCGTGGCGACCCCCGAGGCGGCAGCAGCGCGCGTCCCGCGCCGCCCGGCCGGCCACCCGCCCGCCGGCTCGCAGGCGTCCTCAGCAGCTACTGTACCTGCTAAATTTAGCGATCGCGGGATATTAATAGCCCGAGCCACTGGGGCCGGGCGCTGCAGGGGCTCACAGCCCGGGGACCGGGGGCCAGGGGCGGGGAAGGAGGGGACGGAGGGACGCGGGAAAGAAGGCCACTTACACCACCAGCCTGGAGATGATCCATGACACCATGGCGGGCAGGCAGGCGGGCGGGCACAGCCCGGGCGGCGCGGCGCGGCTGGGCTGCGGGCGGTGCGGCGCTCCCGGCACGTCTGTCCGCGCACGGCCGCCGCCGCCAGACTGAGCGCGCCCGCCGCCCAGCCCCGCGATCGCGCGTCGGCGCAGCCGCGGCACGTTCCGGCGGCGGCCCCAGCCCCCTGGGGCTCCGCGAGCCCGCGGCGATTGGGCGGCAGGCGGGTGAGCGCACCGGAGGGACCCGCCCCGCCTTGCTTGCCCCAGCCCTGGGCGGAATTCGGGCGGGTCCTTCACGCGCCGTGGTGCACCCACCCCTGGAATGGAACCCTGCGGTGATGCAGCCCCCATCCTCCGTGCTACAGTGGGGTGACTGAGGTCCGGACATGAACTTTGGGAACCCGTCTACACCTGTCGAGATGGAATTCTGTCATCCCTTAGAAAATGCGCCAGCCTCATAAAATACGTACCTGTATCCTGACCTGACTTCTTCAATTCATCCCTCTTTACTGCAGAAGAATCCAACCTAAGCACGTCTCCCTACTGATGGTTCTACAGAGGCCCTACAGGATCATCGTTCCCACATACTCCTCTAGCTTTTTTCCCTGCAGCATCTTGGACTTTTCCGTGTCGTCTCCCCTCCTCCGTCTGTTCATTGCATGCCTCACCTAATGCCTTGGTTTGATCTGACTTCAAGCTTCAACCAAAGGGCTAAGAGACCTGGAAGCTTCTGTTCCATAGCAGCATATCCTGAGCTATATGGAGTCTTCGGCAAAAGGGAAATTGTGCACCCAATACAAACACTGAAATGTAGTTTAAAACACTGCATTAAGCTAGGCACCGGGGGCGTCTAGCTACTTAGGAAGCAGAGATCAGGATCGTGGTTGGAAGGCAGCCTGGGGAAATAGTTCCATGAGACGCTATCTGGAAAAATAAAGGGCTGGTGAAGTGGCTCAATGTGTAGGCCTGAGTTCAAACCCCATTATCAAAGGAAAAAAACAAAAAGCCCCACACACTTGCATTAAAAAGTATTTATCTTGATTGCTGAATTTTATGGTGCCCTTTGTTCACCCCAATAATGGACCTGCCTAGCACTTTTTTCTGTTACACTGGAGAGCCTTGTCTTTCCATTGGCTCTGATACTGCTCTCCCACCCTCTAGAAGCCTCATTCCTCTGTGGCGTTCTCTCAGCGCCCTATTCTTCTTTGCTGATGCTCATGTCATGTAGAACTCAATGTCAGATGTGAGAAGCAAGGACAGGCCTAGCTTGGCTTCCTTGCAGAGGCAAGTTGACCCACCTCAGACCATGGCACACAGAGGCGGGAAAGGCAGTACCTTCAAATGAAGAATGCTTATGTGCACGTGTGCCAGATACAGGCAGAAGACAAGACCTTAGTGACAACAAAGGAACTGCAGGAGAGACATCCTCTGTGATGAGACGTGTTCAAAGAACCCATAAAATGTCTGTAATACAGTTTCTCCCTACTCCAGTACTGTGGATTAAATTCAAGGGTGCCCTCCCCCCGCCCTACACCCCATATAGTCCTTTTGCTTTTAGTTTTTTAGATAGTGTCTAACACAGCCAATCTGGGACATCAATCCTCCTGCCTCTGCTTCCCAAGTAGCTGGAATTACAGGTGTATGCTGGCAAACCCAGCTTGTTTTTGAGATAAGGTCTAGCTAACTTTTGCCCTGGCTAGCCTCCAACAGTGATCCTTCTGTCTCTGCCTCTCAAGTAGTTGGGACTACTGGAATAAAATAAGATTTTTAAATGCTGTTTTGACTCACTTAAGGCCCTGGCTGGAGGCTGGTCAGTTCTTTTCTTGGGCAATTTATGAACTCCCACCCCAACCACTTTTCTTTTTAGGTTTTCACACTCCAGGTCACTGCACACCCACCCTAACTGCCCCAGGACCAGGTATGAGATGACCAGAAAGGAGATGACATATACCCCAGGACTCACCATGCCTCTAAATCCCAGAACTCACTGAAATTATTCAAATTAGCCAATCCTAAACCTGCTTGCCCTGCCTCACCCTTTTCTTCCCTCAGAAACCTCAATGATCTGGGTGCTGGTAACTTCTGCCTATAATCCTAGCTACTCAGGAGACAGAGATCAGGAGGATTGCAGTTTGAAGCCAGTCTGGGTAAATAGTTTGTGACCCTGTCTCAAAAAATACCGTCACAAAAAAGGGCTGGTGGAGTGGCTCAAAGTGTAGGCGCTGAGTTCCCCCCCCAAAAAAGAAAAGAAATCTCAATGAAGATATTCACCACAGTTTCTCTCTTTCTATCTTGTGACAGGCCCTGGTGTTTTTCCTGAGTGGCCCTGCTCTCTTCCCAGGGAACGGGGAGTAAAACAAAACTACAAAACTGTAAAAGTTTTTCTAGCTCCTCTCTCTCTCTCTTTCTCTCTCTCTCTCTCTCTCTCTCTCTCTCTCTCTCTCTCTCTCTCTCCCCCATGGTATACTGGGGTTTGAATTTAGGCCCTTGCACTTGCTAGGCCGGCCATGTGTTCTACTACTTGAGCTATGCCTTCAGTCCTGTTCAGCTTTAGTTATTTTTCAGGAAGGGTCTCGAATTTGGACCTTGGACTGGCCGGCCTTGGATCACAATCTTCCTACCTATCCCTCCCTCATAGCTGAGGATTACAAGTGTAAGCCACTACACCTGTCTTCTAGTTTCTTTCTTATCTGTGTCTGGCCTCACAACACTTCACTGGAAGTGATATAGTTAAAACAAGTTCCCCACAGGAAGAAGCTCAGAATACTCAAAGCCAAGAGAACCCCAAAGTCAGAGCAGGACAGTACCACACAAGGAGGACCTCCCTCTCTCCCCTCCCTGCTCCTATCCCGCACTCTGGAGAGGTCAGAAAAGAACACCGTTAGCCATCTTGAGGATGGAGGAGGTGGAATATTGTGGTTCAAAGATATCTTCTTGGTGGGAAAATAGAGACTCAGACCCCATGCTCTTTTCCCCCTGAAGCATTCCTACAAATGGAATCTCAGGTTTGACTGTTGCACTAAATTGGGCATTTTACCCAAATAAAACAATTCGTGGGTCAGAATGCCTGGAGGTCTGGAGGCATGGACCAGAAAACTAGCCAGCCCAAGCTCAGGTTTCACTCAAGAGAAGGGGAAGAACTTGTTCCATGGAACAGGACTGAGGGGCAGAGGAGGAGAACCAAGGGAGAGAGGAAAGTTACTTTTCATGGCATTCTATCTCTTTCAGTGTAACTGTTATACATGATGAATCTCCATCCTGGACGTCCTCCAGTGTGTCCTTGACACTGGAAAACACAGGCCAAGGAAGGAACTCAGCTTTCTAGACAATGGAACTCTTACAGCTCTATCAGCTGGTTTCTCTTTGAAGTCATCATTTGAACTGTGGTTCCAGTGGATGCCTCATCTTTGCTTTTATCCCATCCCCTTCCCCTTTCTTCTGACACAGCTCCTCATTTTTTTTTTTATTAGAGAATCATTCTCCCACATTCCAACCTCCAACCTTAGAAATTGTGATTTTACTCATATGTCTTTACTACCTTGATTGGTTCATGGGTGATCACTAGGCAGAAGCTGGGCCAAAGTCTTCCCTTAGTACAGTTTAAATTGAAAATAGGAAAAACAGACTTCCCCTTTCATGAAGCATTAACTGCTGTAGGAAATCTCCTCCCATTGTAAACAACTAAAAAGCCAGGAAAAAAAAAAAAAAGATTTTAAAGCATAGGTAAACAGGCAGTGCAGGCCTGTGATGAGAAAAGAATCAAAGTGAGTTTTTTTTGTTTTGTTTCTGGTGGTACTGGTTTGTCTGTTTGTTTTTGGCGGTACTAAAATTAGAACTCAGGGCCTCATACTTTGTAGGCAGGCACTATCCCACTGAGCCACACACCCACTCCTTTTTTGCCTTAGTTATTTTTCAGGTAGAGTCAAGAGTTTTTGCCCCAGGCCAGCCTGGACTGTGATCCTCCTACATAGGCCTCCTGAATAACTGGGATCACAGAGAGGAACCACCATGCTGGGCTTATTATTTGAGATGAGGTCTCACTAACATTTTTGCCCAGGCTGGCCTTGAATCTTACTCTTCCTAATTTCTGCCTCTTGAGTAGAAGGTAAATTTTATAATTGTCCTAGTTAACTGTCTCAAAATACTTTCCAAGTATTACTATAGGAACGGAGAACCCAGAGCCCAGAAGTTTCACAGAATATAGGATACAGAGATCAGAGTTCAGAGAAGCTGAAGTCTCTAACTTGTGGAGCAGAGTATCAGAGAGATAGAGAGAGAGAGAGAGAGAGAGAGAGAGAGAGAGAGAGTGCTGCAGATGGAATAACTTCAAGTCTTAAGCTGGATACTGTCCTGAGCATGCATGGGGTGAAATTCTCTGATCTGGGGAAGAACACCAAGAAGGAGTATGCCAAATAATCCCTGGAGGTCACTTGGGGCTGCAAGGAGTTTGTCCTCATCCCAGCCAAAACAAAGAAACTTCTGAACACGAAGCATTGCCGAGAAGGTTACCATCTTAGTAAAAGGACTAAATTAGTCCTAAACGAATCACCAGTGTGGGTCTGCCTTAACAAAATTTAAAACGAAGTCCCCCAAAATCAAACTGATCCCAAGCAACAACCAAATCGTACACCCAATAAAATAAAGTTTTAAAGAAAACTTTAAAAGGGAGCTGGCAGAGAGGCTCAAGTGGTAGAACACTTGCCTAGCAAGTGTGAAGCCCTGTGTCAAACCCCAATGCCACCGAAAAACAAATAAAAATAAAAAAGCTCACAAGTCTGCTGTGGTTGATTGTCCCCTGCAAAATTCACATAGAAATTTAATTACGGATGTGAGTGCATTGGGAGGTGGGGCCTTTAGGAGTGTATAGGATGAAGGCAAATATCACTGGTTGTCCCAAGTTAGTTGTTACAAAAGCGAGTTTGGCTCCCTGGGCTTTCTCTTGCTCTCTCACTTTGTGTGATCATTATGTCGCATGAAAACCCTTACCAGATGTGGCCGTTCATTTCTTGTCCCCCCGCCCCCCGGCAATACTACAGTTTGAACTCAGGACTCATGCTTGCTAGGCAGGCACCCTACCACTTGAGCCACTCCAGC